TGAAGTCTGGGGCCGCCATGGGCTTCCTACACAAGTCATCCGTTGACATCTTGTAGTCCTATGTAAGGATAACCCCTTGTACATTACTACCTGTTTGTCTTCGGTAAACTCGTTCAGACATTTGGACCACGCGAGTATAATATACCCCCCCCCCCCCGGATCCTTGGGTATATCTAATCTTAGAGTCTATTATCCGATATAGGTAAATGATCCGAAACTAAAGGCTTCAGAAACGTTTCTGGACTCCTCTCGGTCATAGATTTCAGACTGCGCCGGGCCGCGGAAGATTTACAGCCGAGATTACGGTCTCCATACTTAATAACTATGGGAGCCGGCCAGATAAATAAAAGGCCGATTCCCCTCCTCATCCTTCCAATATTTTCAGCTGCAAAATGTCAGCACCTCAAATTCCCCACTTCGCCAATTTCACAGCAGAAGGTAAACGTTTGACACCGTGATTCAACCATTCAACGAGGCTTCCATTCACCTTGACCCATAGATGTCGCAGAAATGGAGAAACTCACCGCTGTGCCTGCGAAGGCCATGCTCCTGCAATGTGGCCTACTCCCAACCCTGCCCGCTGATTCGGTTATCTTGGATAACGCGTGCGGCGCCGGGGTTGTCGCGGCGGTTCTGTTCAACGCCGTCGGAAAGGACGCCGGTGGGAGAGTCGTATGCACGGATATCGCAGAAGGCCTCGTTGAGAACGCAGTCAAAGAGAATCGAGGCCAACAACTGGAAGGCTGAGGCAATCGTGGCCGATGCGCAGGTAATTTCTTTGCGTTTGAAGATCGCATGCAATATTTCTGATCTCTATCTTGCAGAACCTCCCCTTCCCCGACGCATATTTCACACACAGCATGATGAACTTCGGGATCCAACTCATCCCCAACAGCGAATTGGTTCTGAAAGGTCCGTTCCCAAGTCCTTTGACGAGAATGACTATTATTCACATCTCCCACAGAGTCCTTCCGAATACTTCAACCTGGTGGAAAAGTTGGGTTTACCTGGTGGGTGCACCCTGGCTGGCTGGACGATGTCAACGCTGCTGTGGACTATGTCGCACCTCCGATCTTCAGCAAGAGCCCGTGGACATCTAAAGACTCCGTCGTCAGCCTCCTCACCCCAGTCGGATTCACAAACATCGATGTGCAACCGCTGGTATTCGAACATCGGGAAAGCATCTCGACGTTCATTCGGTTCATGTCTATCCTTTTGCCGGCCGTTTTGGTTGGGGCGACCGCGGAAAAATACGACACGTACATGAGGAAGAAGTATGGGGATGGTGAATTCTCTACGATGTGGAGCGCGGTCGTTATCACGGCGGATAAGCCATAATATGTTTTACATGTACTATTGGAGGAGAACAACATTGTATATTTTCTTCAACCGTGCGCGGCGCTGTACCGGCCTTATTTGAACCGCAGAACCGCAGAACCCAGTGCGGCACTCGTTAAATTATGGCTGCGGCAGTTACACAGCCACTCTGCGGCATATTTTTGTGGTGCGTGTCAGATTCAATTGAGTTGACTTATTAATGATCCAATGTAGTGTACAATTAATCAATTCAATGGTCTCAATTATTAAATCTATCCAGAATGCCTTTGTTTGAACCGTAGAACCCGATGCAGCACTCATCTGCGGCATATTTTTCGGCGGGTGTCAGATGCAACTGAATTGACTCATTAATGGCGCTAATGCAGCGCAGAATGAATTAAGTCAATGGGCTCAAAGAGCAAAAGCATCTAGAATTATTACCTGTAGAACCACGATTGGAAAAAGTGGCTGCGTCAATAACACAGCCACATTGCGGCAGTTTTTTCTCGCATTGCTTTTGCCTTGGAAAATGTTTCTTGGGATAATCGTTCACATTAAGGTGAGTCGACTTGGGCTATCTAATAAGCTGGTAGTTGAGTGTCTAGAGAAGATATTTCTGGAGTTATGCCGTCAATAGTCCTTTCTACAGTCACAGTCTTCTTGACCTAGACTGCGTGTAACTGTCAACTTCGACCCATAAGTGTAGGTGAGCGCTCCAAGTGAGCTTATGCATCTGTAAATAAACTACACCACAATCTTATCGTTGTCATATCTGGAGACAGTGCTGTTCAACTCCGTTGTTGATGCTCCTAGCTCTGCCGCGGCCACGATTCAAAATTAAGTTTCTTTTTCTCGTTGGTATGTGAATCATTATGTAAATATGGATCAAACAAATATCCGTACTCGTCCAGAATCTAAGCGAGTGCTCAATCGATTATAAAGCAGGCTGCGGTAGTTATTGAACATTCTAACACAGCCACTCTGCGCCAGCTTTCTTTTAGTGCTCACTGAACTTCGACATTTTCATTTCCAAATCGCAGTCTTATGTGATGGAATAATATCAGCACTCCTCTGAATGAACGAACCGCTCAAAAGTTAATTGCGGGCCTCACCACGGTCATCATTAAAAAAATGGCTGCGGCATTAACACGACCAAGTCGCGCGCCAACGTCGTCTTTGACTGAACAATTATTTTTTGAGATTAGAAGTAATATGGATGTATTCTAGATATATATATATATCAATCTACTGGCGGGAAGGGGGCAGAACCACGTTTTTCCAAGTTATGCCATAACTAGTGTTTCCAACCTCAGAATTCTTATGAGTTTTTGGAATCCGTTACGGTCCAGCTGAACTAGCGGACTATCTTATTCAATTTTAGTTTCAGATGCACACTACCTCCAGTCATCATTTCCGAATAAATGGCTGCGGCAGTTGTTGAACATTGGTTGCGGCACTTACACAGCCACCCTACAGCAGATTTTTCTGCGGTGCCTGGATGCGCTGGATTCATTCATAAAGGTCTGAATTTGGTACGGAGTCAGTTAAGCAAATGTATTTGATTCTTTTGGGCCTCAAATCCGGAGTAAATTTCAATGATGGGACTCGATACGGCAAGCCGTTCAAAAAAGTCGCTGCGGCACTAACACAGTCACCCTGCGGCAACATTGTCTTTGACTGAAGAATTAAGTTTTGAGATTAGCATGCAGAGTGATGTATCTAGGCTGTTCAACCAATGGAAACATTCCAGAGCGGTTTTTTTCGCAAGTTATGTTGCGTCAGAAGTACTATTATCAGTCTAAACTTCAAGCTAAAGGCTGAGTTACAATACGGTTGGTCAAAGTAAATATTGGAGTCATCTCAGGATGTCGTTGAAATTGGAAGCACAACACCACACAACCATGAGATGCATGGTAACTACATTAACACCCTTGGCAGCTGAGATTCTCTTTGAAAGCTGTCAAACTTACCTCATGTAAGTTAGGCCGTTACTGGTTGACTGCCAGATAGTAGACACAGTCAGTACATCTTATTACTGAATTGTTGCCTTTCCCCGTGGGTTATACGGTTTCATGAAGGCTCAAGCTCGTACTACGACAATTCTTTTTGGCATTTCTGAACGCACAGACTCGGATTGCCCCCCAGCGTGATATCTTGACTCATTGACGTTGTTTTTGATGTCAGACATCGTCTGCAGGCAGTCTGCGGCGGTCAGGTTGAGTGTACGCGTGAATCTGCGGCAGTGTGACATACTGCCGCAGGGGCTGCGGCAACCTGCGACAGTGCTGCGGCAGTCTGTGGCAGCAGCGGCACTTTCGCCGTGCCCGAAAAAATTGAGACTGATGAGATTTCTTTCAAGGCCGAGCGTCTTGAGGGTTAGAGAATCTCGAGGATGACTTGGTTAATTATCTAGCTGGTATCACTTCAAACAAGGTCGCATTTCTTGGAATCCTCGTACGACACTGTAAACTATTTTGGTCGAGTCTAGATGGGAATTTTGATTTCTTCTTAACATGGAAACGGCGGAGCAAATGTGAATGCCAGGATCTATTTACACATGAACATTGGGCTAGGTTTATCCACTCGGGGTCGATGTCCAAATGTTCGGATGTGGTTCAGATTCAGTACTAGTGACAATCTTCAACGCGCTTTCTTTGCAACTTGAGTGATCACCCGGTTTGATTCCCGGGGGCTTTCCCGATGTTCGCATTTTTGGCGAGCCCACGCTGAAACTTGGTTCAGGCTAAACAGGCGCAAAGATTCCGATCACAGTCAGCCTACATACAAATATCCACCGTCGTGATATTCACCCCTACTCTTCACCATTTACTTGAACTGCTTTGGAACTAAAGCAAATACAATCAGGTTGGAAGTTATCGCAGGCCAGGCAGGTAAGAAATATGCAATTCATGGGTGTGGTTTATGTAAGACCAGTCACCTAAGTACATCGGCCGTCTGATGCAATCTTTGTAGGTCCTATTTTTCTCTCCAACGCTGATTTTGTTGCAGCTTATTCTGGCAAGAAGGGAGACAAATATTTGGACGTGGTGTACAGAACACCACGAGCCTGCCTGCAATGCTTCCCATTAGCGTAGGGTTCGACTCCCTGCGTCATCATTCACACCGAACTTTTGTTGCCCCTTCTCGTGGTTAGAAAGAATGTCTTTCATCGGACGCGGTGTACGATACACAGCGAGCTCGATTTGAAAGCCTGGGTAGATATTGTAGCTCGCAATCCGGTTCGACTCCTCACGTCCGAGGTCCCTGTTTCTCCATCATTTCTTCCTTTTTTTTTGCCAGCCATGCTGGGAAGTCTCACAGGTTATTCAACGCCTGGATATACAGAAAGGCATCGGACGTGGTGTACGGCACACCACGAGCCCTCTTGCGTTAAAGCAATTCAAGTAACTCGTAGTCCGGGGGTCCACGTCCGAATGTGCCTTGATCCACGCCGTCTTTTTTTGCATTACCATCATGACATAAAATAGACAGGTTATGCTGGTGAGGAGGAATGTCAATAATTAGAGGTGGTGTACGGTACACAGCGCGGCAATCTATCTTGAGATGCAGGAAATGGTAGCTTCGCGCAGTCCGGGGTTCGACTCCCCGCGTCCGAATGAATACTCTTTTACCAGGTCCAAAGAAAATTGACAGGTCACCTTGGCAAGAAAGAAGGTAAATAATCGGGTGTGGTGTAGGGGACACCGTGAGCGCTTGAGCCATCTGCATAGGTGGCAGACATGTCGCTCGCAATCCGGGGTTCGACTCCCCGCATCCGAATGTCTGAAGCAGTTGGACGTGCGTCTTTTTTCTTTTGCATTACCATGCTGAAATTTTGCTGTAGGGTATCCAGGTCAGAAGGCATAGGTAATAGTCGGGGGTGGTGTACGGGACACAGCGAGTCCACCTGATATCTTTGTGATGCGAGAAGCGTAGCTTGCAGTACGAGGTTCGACTCCCCACTTCCGAATTGATTTGGTCGAATTTCTTTTTCATAACTGACCATGAATACATTCCACAGGTTATAGAGGTTGCAAAGAATACAATTCATCGGATGTAGTGTACGGAATACCGCGAGCCCATCTAGACGGGACGGACTAGTCCCCTGCGTCCGAATGATTGAGTACGACGTCTTTTGTCTTTTGCTCCCCAGCACTGAAAGGTATCCAGGTTAGAAGATAAGGTAAATAATCGGGTGTGGTGTATGGAACACCGTGGGCTCATCTAAAATGGAGGTGAGGAAATTTGCTCGCAGTCCGGGGTTCGACTCCCGCGTCCGAATGTCTGAATGGGTCTGCACCTTTTTTTTCCCAGGGCTCATTTTGCGCCCAGATACGTTTTGTTTTCCCCAGTCACACTCGAATTTACCCGAGGGTGAATGATGCAGAATAAAAAAATTAGAAGGGGTGAACTTGTGTACCCACTTCTGCGGCCGCTCTCACAATGCTGTGCTTCCGGCGCATTGTGTACGGATCACCGCATGCTGTAAAATCGAGTACGCCCAAAATACAGCAACACGCTCAGCTGGGCCTCGACTTGTAGGCGTACTTTTCATTTTCAACAACATACAGCCTCCAAATATAGAATTACCCGATTGAGGCGCGCAGCCGCAGCGGTCGCGTGACGATGGCACTGCTGCCGACGCCATCCGAAGTAAATAGGAGGCAACACCGGTGCACCGGATTCCCTTCTCTTTCTTACCACCATCTACCCGCAGCGCAAATGCCTGCGCCCGTCGCCGCGTATGTGCTCGCCGTCGTAGGGACCGTAGCCGCCGGGATCGCGTTCAAGGAGGTGGGTGCCTTCTCCTCATTCATTCAGTCTGTCCAAAGCTGGAGCTGATTGATCATCGGCGCAGTTCGTCTACTGAGCCGCACATCGCGCCGCGCATCGAGCGCTGGGCGGAGGAGTTCCTCGCGAAGCGCGAGGCTCGACGGCAGAAGCGCGCGGGACTCCCTGTGCCCGTCCCCAGTAGCCCAGGAGCTGCTGTGAATGCTGGTATTGATAAGAATAAGCGCTCAGGCGAGGATGGGGCTGGTGCTGCGGACGACGGCGACAGCAGGAGCACGTACGAGCTCGAGACGTTGGTGGCACATGAGGTGCAGCAATGGCGATCCAATGTCCCTGTAGCAGCAGGTCCGTCGAGTGGGCTGCGGCAGCGTAAGAATGCAGGGTCGACGATCTCGACTTTAGACGAGGTGGGTAGTTCTCTTCTTATTTATTCAATGCTATGCTGACTGCCTTTCAGAGCAACTCCCAAATCCCGTACTCGCCCATGACGCCGACGCACGTCCTATTCGACGACGCTCTGACGTTGGCCTCGTCGCCCTCAGGCTCGCCGACGTCGAGCCGCGTGCCCACGCCCTCGCCGCACAGCACCCTTTCGCACTCTACATTCCGCACCCCACCGCCGTTCCCGCCTCAGGTCCAGGCGCCGCCCACACCCGACCCCTCAGCGCACGGCTCGCCCGCGCCGTCGGTCTCTGCGCGCGATCCCTCCAACTCGTCCGTCTCCTTTGACCCCTCCCCACCGCACTCCTTCTTCGCCGCCCCTTCCTCTTCCGACCCCTTCCTCCCCTCCCCGCACCACATCCCCTCCCTCTCCCTCTCCCACCCCGTCGACCTCGACGCAGAGCACGACCTCGAGCTCCTCTCCGCAGCGTCCTCCTCCCCGCGCCTCTCCGTGTCCTCGTTTTCCGGCATGGACGACTTCCACTCGTTCGCCCAGTCCACGAGCGCCTCCGTTGCGGCGGACGAGTCGCCGTTCCGCTCACCCGAGTTCGCGGTGCGCTCCGTCTCTTCTGCCTCATCCGAAGGCGGCAGCGACGCCGAGGACCTGGAGCGCTGGAGCAACACAGGCAGCGAGATCTCTGCGTCGAGTTGGTCGAGCGCGGGCGCAGGCAGGGGTGCCGGACGGTGATCCCCCTTGTTTCGGCAGTCCATTCCATTCTGGATCTGCATTTCATACATCCTGGAACTGCACCAACTGACTTATATCATCCATCCATCCATCCCTGATCGCATCGCTTATACAGCATACACGCATCGTCGTATTTAATCCATATCTCCCTCTCTTCACTTACTCATCTCACTCTCCCTCCGTCTCCGTTCCTCTTACTTGTCTCCGCCGCCGTCTCCAAGTCATCTTATCTCCGTCGCCTCCGTCGCCTCAACTCACTCACTTATCTCCGTCTCCGCTGTCGTACATCTCTCTCTCCCTCGTCGCGTATACAAGAAAGAAGGAAACCCGAAATCCAAATAGGCAGCCAGCAGTCCCTTTTTTTGCATGTATCAATATAATGTAACGAATTTATCTGAACAATCGAAGTCAGCACTTCTAAGGTTATACCGCGCATTAAATGGGAGAAGATACGGGGAGAATATCTCGCTGGTACGTAAGTAGTGGGGAAATAGTGAGCGCGAGTTGAAATGATGAGCGTGAAATTAAGGCGCTCATTTCGTTCTTTTTTAAAAAAGGCTATGGCCATGGGCCATTTGGACGCGGGGAGTCGAACCCCAGTCTGCGAGCGGCGATATCCTAGATGGAAACATCAAGTCGACTCGTTGTGTTCCGTACACCACGTCTAATTAATATTCCTCTTCAAGATCTGGATAACACTTGTTGCAACGGCAGCTTGGGCAAAAAATTCGATGGAAACCCAAGATCCGGACGCGGGGAGTCGAACCCCGGACTGCGAGCGGCGATGTGCGGGATCAAGTCGATCGAAGATGAGCTCGCGGTGTTCCGTACACCACGTCCGAATAACAGTACTCTGCATAAACTGGAAAAGTGTTGAATTTTGGAGCGTGGATGGCAGGGCAAAAAAAAAACCTGAAATCGAACTATTCGGACGCGGGGAGTCGAACCCCGGACTGCAAACTGCCAACATTTGCTGCGACGAAGATGGGCTCGCGGTGTGCCGTACACCACATCCGAGTATTTGCAATCCTTCTGGGCAGGATAAGCTGTATCATAGAATTTCTTTCACCATGTCAATAGCAGCCTGGGCAAAAATTGCCATGCAACTCCTACATTCGGACGCGGGGAGTCGAACCCCGAACTGCGAGCGATGATGTTCGGGATCAAATTTCAACAACACAAGTCAGCTCGTTGTGTTCCGTGCACCACGTCCGATTAATACCTCTTTTCAAGAACTGGATAACTTGTTGAATTTTGGAGCGTGGAATCTGGATAGCAGGAATTGGGCGGGAGGATTAAAACATTTGACGCGGCTAATTCGGACGCGGGGAGTCGAACCCCGGACTGCGAGCTACATCATTGGTCTTTGCGCGCAGATGCCCTCAAGGTGTGCCGTACACCACGTCCGAATATATGCTCTGCTTCTGGCCAGGCTACACTCTGGAGGAATCAGTAGCATTTCGAGCAAGGCTGAACGTTGAACTGTGAAATAATGATAGTTGCACATTAATCCGGGAAGCTCAGTGGTGAGATTGATTTCTAGTTTGGGACGCGGCTGGAGCACAAAAGGAAGATATATTGGGAGGGGTGGAAGAAAAAAAACGAACGGAATCGCAGTGGCAGCTGATTCGGATGCCGGGGAGTCGAACCCCGGACTGCGAGCTACTGCCATTATCAACAACTTAGATGAGCTCGCGGTGTGCCGTACACCACGTCCGAGAATCCGCTCTGCTTCTGGCCAGGTTAAACTCTAGAGGAATAGTTGGTATTTGAGCGAAGGCATAGGGTTGAAACTAATATTAAGCTATTATTGACGATTGAATCCGGGAAGTTCAGTAGTGAGGTTCATTTCCAGCTTAAGACGCGGCTGTAATAATTGAATGTTAATTCCAGCACGAAATGAGAAAAAAAAAGGAACGGGATGACACCGGCAGCTGATTCGGACGCGGGGAGTCGAACCCCGTTCTTCGAGCTCGAGCTACTCATGATCAATAAATTTAGATGGGCTTATGGTGTCCCATGCACCATGTCCGAGTATTTGCTTTCCTTCTGGCCAGGCTAAAGTTTAAACTCTAGAGGAACTAGTTGGCCAAACACATCCCCTTTATTTTCGCCACCACTCAGGCTGCTTGACAAGCTCAAGTGACATCTCGAAGGACCGTTCAAGACCAGCTTCAATGTGAGTGCTATGAATATACTATGTAACTCATTAAACGGGGCCGCCAAACTAAAATCTTGCATCAGATTACAGCATTTCAACCGCGCGAAGATATGATACCTCCATGCCAGAGACCGCATCCTTGGTCACATCCTGCATTTGAACATCAGCGAAACGCCGGTGCCCACTCCGAAGAACGCACATGACTGTTTTGAGTGGCCTCTGCTGCTGTACTCGTGTTGTTCGTGCCAGACGTCTGAAACTGTCCGCAAGTGTTTAGTATCCTCTTACATCGGCCAGTATTGCCAGACGCACCCTTAATCCGGTTACGGACTGCCCTGCGTTTACCGTCGATAGGTTGAATGTGTTCATCCCTTTTGTGTTGCGCAGCGCTTCCCTGAAGTTAAGGCTTGCAAGCAGCGAGTTTGAATACACTAGAGGCATCAGCACGATACGGATTTGATATCTGATATATGTATCCAACACTCACGTTTCCCTGCGACAATGTTGAAAGCAAGATGGACGAGATTCCCGGGCATAGTCAAAAACTGGATGGCTGCTTCATTAGACTGTACTACATTTTCTAAGCGGATGACTTGCACAGGCCATGTCAATTAGGACAATTATCCTGCGTCGCACATATTAGAATGAAAGCCGGAGGACTCAATAAATTTTCACATACGAAGTCAGGAGCCCAGTGGT